CCTGACATTAAACTGATGCCTTGTTCTATTTATGACGTACTGGCACAAAGTTAATATGATTTGCGACGGTCGCTTTGTCGCGTCCAGTGTAGAGCTGTTAACAACTGTAGCGTCCAGTATAGACACGGTGAGTGAAGCCGAGAGCAAGATATGCCTCGTCATATTTTCTGCATTTAGCTTTTGAATGACCAGCACCTGCCTGGGTCTGTGCGACTTCATTTATGGCTTTTCTCTTCCCTTTCACAAACCGATCCATCTCCCATTCTAAGTTACGCCCTTTGGCTGTTTACTGTTTTATTTCTTTTCTTTTTCTGCTGATGGCCCGTGCCCCCCCTGCAATACTTGTGCGCCCCCCTGGCGGGTGCCTCCCACACTTTGAGAGCCACTGCATTAGGTGAACAACAGCTCACAAGCCTAAAATATAGAGAAAAGAGTCCAAAAACCCAGAAACAATGGCCTTCTGGTTCCATCATACGAAAGTCGGTAGGGTTTTTTAATGGGATCTTGAATGCCTGAAATAAGGTCTTTAACACAATCTCAAGAAATGATTACATTTTATTGTACAAAAATTTCTAATACCCCATTCATGATTGTTTAAGCTTTTACATGTCTTGAAAAGGTAGATGGCTAACAAGTGACTAAATTGGACGTTGTCGGAGACATTAAACATCATTATGCCCAACAGGAAAACTACTGACTCACTAGTCCATTTCTACAGCTTCAAGTGTGTTTATACTTATACTCACTTATACTATACTGCAAACTATTCTACCTCAAACTTTCCAGCATGTAGATTTTAAATTTACAGTTAAAAGAGTTGAAGTCTAATGATGCTGACAACCATGCTGCAGATTGCATTTAGGGTTTAAAATGTATAAAAGTTGTGTTAATTCGTGAAGATTATCTTGATGAACAAAATATCTAAGACTCATGACCTTTTATTGGTCACAGAGCTTATTTTCAGCAATACTCCAAAAGCCAACAGAAAAAAAAACCTATTGGCTTTTTGTTGAGGAAACCAGAGTGATGCTAACTTCCGGGTTGGCCTACAAACATACTTCATCCTTGCCACACTCTAATGATCCTGTTACGCAGAAGTATCAGTGCGACTGAATCATACCATATTGTTGAGTCGGTCATCTAAGCTTCCATTGGAGATGCTCCAGTTGTGCAGCTCCTGCTCATCTGTGCCATCTTCAAATGGTGTGCCGCCCGTCGCCATCATGAACAATCAGAACCTGCAGAAAACCACCAAATGAACACTTACACAAACCTCACCTAAAGAAATGCATAACCCCAATCCACTTTCTCAGAAAACTCATATACACTGTGCAGCCACACAGCTTCTTGATGTGACAGTTTCATTTGAGGGGCTGAGGTTTGTTTGACCAGCTGCCAAGCAACATATAACATGCCACACTGAGCATGAGAACTAGAGCCCGACCGATATATCACTTTGCCGATTTTATCGCATTTTATCAAATGAAGACAAAAATGTTCCTTTTCTGGTTGTCATACACTCATTAAGTTACAATTTTCATCTGCTCAAGCAGAACATTAATGTCATCTTGTGCTTCAGCAAAGTACCTCTGGCTATAACTAGCTAACGTTAAAAGTTAGTGAGTCCATGCTATTACAAACCTAAACAGCAAACAGTTCTCACATCATGTACAGTGTAGGTCAAAAACACATAAACGAAGGTCTGCATTTCAGTGCCTCTCCATAATAAACTGGTTAAAATGTACATTAATTTAATCGCACCCTGCGATACATGAACAGTGTTGATCCGGGATGTTGTTATCTCCGATCGTGACGGCCATATAGGGCTGGACAATAATTCAATATCAATATGTATCGCAATATAATTTTTTTCAATAACGGTGATATGATTTTTAAACACATTTCCGATATTTCGATATACATTACCAGTTTCCCATACATTGATTTATTTATGACCCCTTTAAAATATTTTATACATCCCTCCATGGAATATTTAATTCCCACTTGAATGGTGGCCCTTCTGTGTCCAAAATTGTGCAAAAACATCGTGGGACAAGGTTTTCACACTGACAGCTGTCATTGTAAGAGAGTGAGCAGCTCCGTTTGTTTGTCCGAGGGAGCAACAGTAACTGGGCGGGGCAGGGCTTACCGATCGTTCAATTTAATTGAAATAAAGTTGAATAAACTTCAAACTTTACTGTTCAGTGCACTGATGTCAGATTCATTTTGGATAATAAAGTTTATTGTTAAATGCCCTGCCTCCATTACATATCTTTGACACGTCATTATAAGTGTTTGATCACCACATTTGAGTGTTCATTGCAAAAAAATGTGTTTATGCAAATACAGTATATATACTGAATATATACATATTATATATACATATATACATATATAGAACAGAATATATTCTGTTTTAGTATATACTGTATTCTATATATAGTATCAGTCAAAAGTTTGGACACACGAATGGGAAAGTGCCCAAACTTTTGACTGGTACTGTACTATAATATACACAAAGAATATCGGCCGATATATCGATATAATATCGGTATCGACCCCCAAAAAAACAATATCGGTAGGGCTCTATTGACAACATTAACTTGAAAAAACTGTAGATAATGACAGACCTTCACCACAGTATAAGTTCTTATAATATCCTAAAAAATGTACTGTGGCAATACCATGGAGCAGTAATTGGTATACAATTGTATTTTGATAAGTATGGTACTGAATCCCCTTACATCAGTGATCCTCAAATCTGGCTCGTGAGATCCACTTTCCTGCAGAAAGTTTAGCTCCAACCCTATAATCAAACAAGCCTACCTGAGATTTTCTAATGATCCTGAAGACATTGATTAGCAAACTCAGGTGTGTTTGATTAGGGTAGAGCTAAACTCTGCAGGAAAGTGGATCTCGCGAGCCAGATTTGAGGATCACTACATGGTTCTCCAAAGGTACTAACGTTACCATGGTACGACCATAGTAACGTTACGTGTATATAAAAAAAACACATTACTATGGTTTATATCCAAAAAGAAGTTAGGCTAACGTTACTGTAACTTAAACTAACTTACTTTTCAAAAAGACGTCTGTGCTCTTTGTTCTCCGAGAAATGTCTAAATGCCGATAATCTGCTCGTTTGTGAGAGAAGAGTCCGTTAAAACGGTTAACCCGGTCAAACCGCTCAGTTTCCCGGCTAACTGTCAACACTCGCTTCTCTCTTACACAGGCGCTTTCACCTGTGCAGGTGAAACTGTGCTGAATAAGTTTAGAGTAACGTTAGTTTACGATATTACAAACCAACGGTTGTTATAAATTAAGTACAAGCTCCCTCATAGACATAAAATCCTCGAGCATAATGACTGACAGAGACTTTAACAGACGCGTGAAAGCTTTTTGGTCTGTCACCATGGTTACCATGGTCACCTCTGGCACAAGCCTTGGAACTCTAGTTCCCCGCGAAAACTCCCGGCTTAGAGAAACAAACCCAACACAGGGTCACAACAACAAAACCAAATATCCCAAGTCTGATTAATATATTTATAATAAAGATAGGAGATTAGAAGCTAAATCACACATTAGCTCAATAGTGTATTATTCTATATTGACATAGGACTTGGTGTTCTTAAACTTGTCCACCTGACACAAAGGCATCTGACCGGTGCATCATTCTCTCACATAATACGATCCACTTGGTCCACCTTCAAGCGTCCCAGATCCAATTGTCCCACTTAAAATGTTTTCCACAATAATAAAACGAGAGCAAAACTTTCACATTTGAGTGGTATTTCACTCCGAGATACGAAATATGCTGATATTTCTTGAAATAACTTTGAATGTCTTTAGTGAGGGAGCTAACTTAGCAAGCTAACAAGAAGTTGAGAGAGAAACAACTGAACGAGCACAGCTAACGTTAGCAGGCTGTTTTACTGAATAATCAGGAAACTTACCTTGAACGCTGAGGCAACCTATTACTGGAACATGAAAATAATTATCATGTGTAGTTTATTAAAATCCCAGATAAAGTGTCAATGCGTAGTGCCTTCCACTCGGAGTAACCGCCTGTCCAGTCGCGGCCATCTTTATGCCATATCCAAACAAACAGGCGAAAGGATATCGCTCTCATTTTCATTAAACCGACATTTATTGTGTATTTCCTTTTATTTGTTGCATATTTTGACATTAAAAGTTGTATATTTATATTTTAAGATGACATCATTAAATAGATTAAGCTAGTTAACAAACTGAGGCCTTAAAAGAGTGGCACTATTTTACTTCTCGGAAGCATTTGGAACAGTTGGAGAAGTTATGCGCAATGTCTTAAAAGTACGGATGCAGAGAAATGTGACTGATGGAATGATGGTGATGAGTTTAAATACTTAAAAATAAACGAAAAACAAGGTAAAAACGGAAATATTTCTTGTTTAATGGATTAAATTGAAAAATAACGTGATATTATGTAATGAAAAATGCAAAATCCTAACCAAATTGTTACCCTGGGAAATAATTTCAAGGACAAAACCCCTTAGTATAATAACAATAGTTTATACTTTGAAAAATGCATAGGATAAGACATATAAAGTCTTTCTCTTCACGTCACATAAATTTACAGGGCCTGGGAGATTTTTATTTATGAGTACTTGGTCTTTTGTGCTCTTTATCATAGGCACACTTGGTAGGTTACGCTGATGAATCTATATATTTGACAATACATTTATGAAAAGAGACAAAACATGTGTGGTGCTGCTGTCACTTGGAGAATGATGAGAACAAAAATGACAAAGTGAATAGCTGTACTCTCTGGTTCAAACAAACTACTTATTAGTATTAGTAGCATGAGGATAAACATACATTCAGAAACGCATAAATGCATTATAATGGAAAACAACTAAGTAGGTGTTTGGTTACACTTCATTTTAAGGTCATTCGATACTTTATTTCAAGGTAATTCATTAAATAAGTACTGAGTAATATCAGTTAACAACACATACTATTATGGTTTTGGTTTAGGATTAGTTGCATGTAATTATGCATAATTTACTGTTAGTGCTATAGCAAGTACATGTAACTTGTAATAAGGATACTGTAAAATAAAGTGTTACCATGTTCTTAGGCTTATTTTTCACTGACATGTATGCTTTCATTTGGCTACCCATTTTGAACAGACCTTCACGAGTGTTCATCAGGGAATGATATCTTTTTTGAAAAGGTGCGTTTATGGATTTTTACTGTTAGACATATTTCTACTGAAATAGCTGAGCTTTGGGCTGTTTGCACAACCACTGAATATGAAGCATACTATTTTATTGATCAATAGCAGGCTGTTGATATCATGCAGTCAGCATTTTCTCAGTGCAATTCAATAAGCAAATACTGTGAGTTATGATCATTCTTGTGAGATATTGACACATGCACACGTACACATATGCACACGTATGCATGAGCTTTTTCTAACATGCACACACATGCCCTTTATAATCGATCATTCCTGCCCTCTTGGGCTCTTTACACACACCGTAAGAAATACTTAAGCTCTATAGTTTGAATGTTACTATGTGATTAATAATAGGTTTTCTGCAGGTTTTATGAAAGTAAATTTCAAACTTAAGACAGTTTTATGACAAATTAAAGAAAAATTAAGGAATAAATTAAATGGAACACAATATGTCAACATGGTCTCTAAATGTAAATGTCTTGTATCAGAAATGCTTTAACGTTTGAAAATACAACTTCCATCTGATATCCATTACTTTTTAATACATTTAATTCAAAAATAAAATAAAAAATTCTTGAATAAGTTTGCTGAAACTTTGCTTAACCCACAGAAACTCCAAATAACTATTAATACTTGAAGTTAATTTTGCTTTCCTTTATCTCCAGTTTTTATATTATAAAAAAAAATGTGGAAATACATAAAAATAAAAATAGCTTAATAAAATGTGTGCCTTCAACTCTTAAGTGCAAGAAAACTTTTGCTAATATTAGAATTTACAAAGACTACATATTACAGGTACATCTAAAAAAAATTAGAATATCATAAAAAAGGTCAATATTTTTTGTCACTCATTTCAGAAAGTGAAACCCATATATTATATAGATTCATTACACAGAGTGAAATATTTCAAGCCTTTATTTCTTGAAATTTTAATGATTATGGCTTACAGATAATGAAAACCCAAAATTCAGTGTCTCAGAAAATT